ATTAAAAAATGAAGGATAAAAACAACACAATCATATCAAGAGATGTGGGAAAAGCATTTAATAAAATCCAGCACCCATTTATGATAAAAACCCTCAGCAAAGTGGGAATAGAGGGAACATACCTAAACATAATAAAGGCCATATATGACAAACCCACTGCCAGCATCAAACTCAACAGACATGATGCTGGCAGTTCGCCTTAAGATTGGGAACAAGACCGGTATGTCCACTTTCACTTCTCTTATTCAATATAGTACTAGAAGTCCTAGCCACAGCAATCAGACAAGAAGAAACAATAAAAAAGGCATCCAATTTGGAAAGAAAGAAGTAAAACTGTGTTTATTTGCAGATGGCATGACACTATACATAGAGAACCCCAAAGAGTCCACCAAGAAACTACTTGAACTGATAAATGAATTCAGTGAAATATTAGGATACAAAATTAATATCCAGAAATCAGTTGCATTGTTATATGACAATAATGAACTAACAGAAAGGGAAATTAAGAAAATAAGCCCATTGACAATTACTTCAAAAAGAATAAAATGTCTAGGAATTGATCTAACCAAGGATGTAAAAGATCTGTACACGGAAAATTGTAAGACACTGAAGAAAGAAATTGAAGAAGATACAAACAAGTGGAAGCACAATGGTGTTCATGGATAGGAAGAAGAAACATCATTAAAATGCCCATGCTACCCAAAGCAATCTATAGATTCAATGCAATTCCTATCAGGATTCCAATGTCATATGTCACAGAACTAGAACAAATATTTCAAAAATTTATATGGAACCATAAGAGGCCCTGCATAACAACAGTGATCCTGAGAAAGAAGAACAAAGTTGGAGGAATCATGCTACCTCATATCAAACTATCCTATAAGTCCATAGTAATCAAAACAACATGGTACTGGCATAAAAACAGATGCATATATCAAAGGAACAGAATAGAGAGCCCAGAAATAAACCCACACCTATACAGTCAATTAATATTTGACCTCTGGGAAAATTGGACAGATATGTGCATAAAAATGATACCAGACCATCTTCTTACACCACAAACAAGAATACATTCAAAATGGATTCAAGACTTAAATATTAGACCCAAACCATATAAATCCTAGAAGAAAAGATAGGTAAAATCTTGGACATTGCATGTAGCAATATTTTATCTGATATATCTCCCCAGGCAAGGGAAACAAAAGTAAAAAAAAAACAAACGGGACTACATCAAACTAAAAAGTTTGCATAGCAAAGAAGACCATCAACAAAATAAAAAGACAAACCATGGAATGGGAGAACATATTTGCCAATATATCTGATAAGAGGTTAATATCCAAAATTTATAAAGAACTTACAAAACTCAACACCAAAAAAACAAACAATCCAATTAAAAAATAGGCGAAGGGCCTGAATAGACAGACACTTCTCCAAAGAGGACACACAGATGGCCAATAGATGTATGAAAAGATGCTTCATGTAACTAGTCATCAGAGAAATGTAAATTACAACCACAATGAGCTATCACCTCACACCTGTCAGAATGGTTATCATCAATAAATCAACAAACAACAAGTGCTGGCGAGGATGTGGAGAAAAGGGAGCCCTAGCACAGTGTTGGTGGGAATGCAGACTGGTGCAGCCTCTGTGGAAAGCAGTACGGAGATAAATCAGAAAATTAAAAATGGATCTGCCTTTTGACCCAGTGATCCCGCATCTGGGAATATATCTGAAGAAACCCAAAACACTAATTTGAAAGAACATAAGCACTCCTATGTTCATTGCAGCATATTTATAATTGCCAAGATATGGAAGCAGTCCAAGTGTCCATCAGTAGATGAGTGGATAAAACAACTATGAGACATTTACACAATGGAATACTACTTGGCAGTAAAAAAAAAAAAAAGAAAGAAAGAAAGAAAGAAAATTTTACCCTTTGCAACAGCATGGATGGACCTGAAGAACATTATGCTAAGTGAAATAAGCCAGTCAGAAAAGAAACAAATACCATATTATTTCACTCATATGTGGAGTCTAATGAACAAACTAAATTAACAAGCACAACACAGGCAGACTCATAGATGCAGAGCAGATGACAGCTCTGGGGGGTGGGTGGGTAAGGGGGTGGAGGGATCTATCAAAAAAGACTCATATACAATGGTGGGGTGATTGCAGGGGGGAGGGTAGTATAAGGGGATTAAGTGGTAATGGAAACATACAATAAAAATAATAGAAAAAGAACACTTTTTATATTACTCAAAGGTTTACTGATTATCTCAAGACAAAAAGCTTAAAAGTTGTAAAATCTACAGATGTATTTCTTCAACAAAAGAACAAGTATTCCAAATTTGAGGAGCTCTGGTGTGCTGGCTCTTGTGACTGTCACAGGTGCACACACACACACAGACACAATATCCCTTCAGGCAAAGTTAATATTTCAGCGATGAATATAACTTTGTTTTAAAAGAATCACGTTTTGGGGAAAGCACTTTGAAACTGACGTTTGCAACTGTCACCAGTATCATGTAGTTTTAATGCCAAAATGAAGTGTGTCAGTGTCACCTCTAAGACTGTCATAGCTACAGCCTTCGAAATAAGAAGTGCACTTTTAAACCCACTTTACGATCTCCCAAATGAAAAGTTTCAAGAATTTTAAAAAATCCCATTGTCAAAAATATTTGCAAGAACAACTGATGAAAACATCATTGAAGATGTCGGCTTCATGGACAAAGAAGAGTTTTCTGGTGGAATTTCACACCGATAGATGGGATTTAAACAGTGAAAGTTATGATTTAATAAGTGTAGTCAAAGATAGAATTCTTCTATTTGGGTCTGTTTCTTTGTGAGAGTTGATGTTGCTTTTTTTTTTTTTTTTTTGCATTAACAGCCATTAGGACCAAGTATTGACGTTAACTGAACTTAAAAGCATACTTTGTAGTCTCATAAAATATTAAACTGATTTATTAAACCCATTTTTAATCATGGTGCTCTCACTAAACATATTTTTGCTAATAACTTTGAAGTGAAAAGAAAAAGGTTATTGTACCATTCGTTAAAAATGAAATAATTTAGCCCTGGCCAGGTCGCTCATTTAGTTGGAGAATCTTTCTGGGCACCAAAGGTTGTGAGTTCAATTCCCGGTCAGGGAATTACCTAGGTTGTGGTTCCATACCAGTACCCCCACCCCGGCCCCTTTCAGGGTGCTTAGGAGAAGAAATACATCTATACTTCTCTCTCTCTCTCTCTCTCTCTCTCTCTCTCTTCCTCTCTCTAAAATGAATAACCATATCCTCAGTTGATAAAAAATGAAGTACATAATTTAAAATTGTTTCACCTTTACCACATCCTTTAAATGCTTTTTAATGTGCTTTACAATATACTAAAACAGTTGCATGTGCAAATTTATAAGCAAATTGTAAATATCAGACTACAGGTAAAGGGAATAAAACTCGGTGCTTTTATGAGACAACTATGAAAGCAGTTGGCACAGTGCGGACACAAAGCAGGTATTTGCTAATGAAATTTTATTTCTCCCTTGGTGACAAATTTTATGTGAGAGATGAAAAGAAGGAAGTCAAAATTTCTCCCAAGTGTTGCCCAGAGGAGAGGTGCTGGTGCACCCACTAAGACTGGCGCGCTGGCGCGCTCCTGGGAGGAAATGAGGAGTTGGAGTTAGGATACATTTTCATGGGTCTAATAACCTCTAAGTGGACATGAGCTCCAGGAAGTTGGACACACCATCTGCCGCTCTGGAGCACTCTGGGCTGGAGATGAGGTTCAAGAGTCATTAGCAGGCAGAAGGTTGTTAAAACCACGGCGGTGGGTGAGATCCCAGAGTGGGCCAGAAGATGAGCGAGGAGGAATGCGGCTGTGGGACCCCGAGGGGAAGCCACAGTCAGTGGAGGTACGTGCAAAATTTGAGGAGAGAGGACAGGTGGCGCCAACTCTGAAAACTGTGTACTCAAAGCATGCAAGGAAGGCGTGGTCAGCAGGTTCAAATACTGGGAGGAAGCGAGTAAGGGCGTTACAGAGCACTCACTGACTTTGGCAACTAGGAGGCTAGTCGGGAGCCTGGGAGAAAACCTTTGCTTGCGGGTGCGTTCAGCTACAGGAAGTAAGTCACCTGTTTGAGGGCCGTGACCGTCGAACCTCACCTTGGGAAAGTCCCGGCGGGAGGTCAGGACAAATTCGCACATGGTGGGAAGCGTCCTCGGGGCGAGTGGGTGGCAGCGGAGGCGCCGAGGTCCGGGGAGCATAGCTGGAGTCTGACCCCGGTTGAAGCTGGAGCTCTGCCGGCCGCCCGAAGGACAGAGCAGCCCCCGGCGTCTCAAGTTTCCCGTACGCAGCGCGGCCCGGGTGCTCAGGTGGCCGCGGGCAGGCCTGGTTGGCGGGCGGCGCGCAAGACTGACCTGCGTGTTGGTGGCGGCCCGCGCCCTCCTGCTGCCTGTCCCTCGCCTCTACTAGGCTTCTCGCCCAGGTAGTGCACCGACTGAGGAGGCTTCTTCCCTGCGGAGGCGGCTCTCCTCCTCCCTCGGGGCGGGTCCGGGACTCTGGGGCCGAGGGGCCGAGGATCCGAGCGCTGTAACCTGGGAACGCTCGGCCCTCGCCCCTGCCGTGGGCTGCACCACCGGCTCCCGCCGAGCGCGGGCGGCGGCACGGCCTGTCCGGGATCCCGTCCGGCCAGCTGCAGTGCCGGGCAGCCCCCCTACTTGGTGCGTTCTGCATATCGCTGCCACCGGCTCCCCCAGCCCTGAGGGCCGCCCCCTTCCGGTCCACGGCGGGTCTCTCTGCCCCGAACCTGGTGAGTGCGCGCGATGCTGCGCTGCTGACCTTGGGGCCGCGTCCCACGGCCCCCGCGGCCCAGAGCGGGAGTTTGGAGCGCCCTGGGATGGGGACCTCGGTTCTGCGCTCCCCAGCTCCCCGAGGCAGGGGAGCGCCGTTGCTGGCGCGGCGCCGACCCGGGGCTCCTCCCCTGCAAGGGCCCTTGCTTGTGCTCCTACCTCTGTCTGCAGTGGCCTGGACTCCTGAGGCCTCAGGTGAGCCAGCCGCATCTCAGCTCTCTGGTGGCCTAAACTAGATTGCCGCCACTTAATCGCCGGGGACAAGTTTCTAGGTGCTTGAGGACTGACCAGATGCTTACTGCGGAGGTGGACTTCCACCTGGAGGCAGGGGGAAGGACAGAGTGACAGGATGATGGGGTCGGCTGAGGTCTTCATCCTTACCTCCGTGGCTTTTCCTGGCAAAGGAGGTGTGTTGCGCTCTGGCAGTCTGCTTTTTGCCCTTGAATTTCTTGGTAGCTACTTTGCCAGGGGAGCTGCTAATGGCTTGTCTTGGCTGGCAAAAGGCTCTGGGGTGAGGTTTGAGAGGCCCTGGAGTAAGAGAGTGTCATTTCCCGGGTCTGTTAGGTCCTTGTATGCGCCTGGGAGCTTGGTGATAACAAATTAGCAAAGGAGCTCGGTGCAAGCACTAGGAGGAATTTTAGCATGGCCCTGAGCCCTTGTTGGCTCTCCCCCTGGATGTGGTAACCAACATTTGACCACCTTGAGGGAAGAGCCGGCTGGAGCTGGAGCCCTCAGAAGAGAAAGTCCTCCCCTGGCTGTGAAGCATAAATGCTGAGGGGCCTTCAAGCCACAGGGGCCAGGCAGACCAGGGCCCCTGTCAGCTCTCGCCTCTCTGAGTGCCGGCAGCAGGTTTGGGGTGGTTAGCCTGGCCTGGCTGCAACTCCTTGAGGGGCCAGCTGGCTCCGAAGGTGATGGTAGGAGGCTGCCCATTCTAAGAATCATGGAGCTTGCATAGGTGGATTGCTGGAAGATTCTTGGGCCTCTCAGCCCCATCTTAGTCCTTCTGAGATCCTGGATAAGGGTAAGTGGCTCTCAGCCAGGTCAAGAAATGGCTCGAGATGAGGCCTATTTCTTTTGTCTTCACACTAGGTGAATTAATCTTCAAATGGCCTCAAAATAAATCCCGTATCTTGAAAATATTATGGGAAGATAAAAAGTTGCCTTAGAGAAAAGCAGGAAGATACCTTTTCTTCCCTAAAGCTACTCATTGGCATTCCTGGTTCTTCCAGGTGATATATTAATTTCTTAGTTCTTCTGTGTGCTGGCTGCATATTTAGGACAGAAGACCATGCCTTTGGGTTTTGATATATGAGAAGCTAGAGCATAAGAGGATGGGCTCACTACTGGAGTGCTGGCCATGCAAACTCATCCAGAAGTGTCATTTATTGAGGAGAAGGCTATTTCTCCTGATCTGGTTTCACATTTAAAGCTGGTTTTCTTTTCCTTGCACCCACACAGGAGTTTGCAAGAGAGCCTCACACACAATAGTACTCCATAAATATTGTTAAATAAAAGGATTCAGTGTCTAGATAAAAATTCATGTTTATTTTCTCAATTGGGCTCTCTTGTACCTGATGTCACAATGATAATGATGTTGCTTGATAATACTTATAAAGCACATACCTTGTGCCAGGTACTGTGCTAATCACTTTACATGTGCTAACTAATTTGATTGTCACAGCAACTTATGAGGTCAGTACTATTATTAACCCCACTTTATATGGAATAAAACTGAGCCAGAAAAGTTTAGTCATTTGCCCAAGGTCATGCAGCTAAGAGGTGGAACAGGATTCAAACCTAAGTTGTCTGACTAGAGTCCATATTTTTAACCATACATTGTACTGACTCTGAGCATGTTCAAGTAGGTTAATCATTAGCTCATTCCCACATTCATTATTTTGTGTCTTCATTCATCAAATATTTACTGGTTCCTACCGTCGTACTCCAGGCATGAGGACACAGTGGAGCTGATATTTAGCAGGTGAAACCCCTTTGCCCAACTCCCATGTGAGTCATGCACACCTCAGTAAATGAAGCAACATCCTTTTGAGAAAACAACTTTTCTTGATAGGACATAATTTGATTGCAGCCTTTTCTGTTTTGGGGTGTTTGTAATGATTCCAGCCTTTTTTGTTTTTGGGTGTTGGGCACGTAAATGATAAAAGAGAATGTAGTCTGGTCTCCTGGGCAGGAGAAACAGGTCCCAGGCCTGGTTATCATAGGTTGTCTTAATGTGTCTTCAGAAGGGAATAGGGCTTTGAGCTTGGGTCCAGTGCTTCTCGGTCCAAGAAGACTTCTAGGCCATGAGGCTCAAGGTCTAGACATGTTAGGCTTAAGGGGAAAGTGTGAGGTCCTAAGTGAAGATTGCCCTCCTGTGACAGAGCCACAGTTTTCTCTTAAACTGCCACTGTTCTGGAGGGTGTTGAATCCCTTTGGCTTCAGTGGGACCCTTGCCGATTGTCCCAACCTGTGTCATGTTAACAGGGGTGCTGCCTGCCTCCATCTGGACCTGATGGAGTGGGGCTTGCACCCCTAGCTGCGCCCAGGAAGGAAACTTCCTGTAGGCTGGAAAATGAAGGCTCATAGTGAAAGGCATTTTCCAAAGCCCAGGCCATGGGATATTAATAGGTGTGTTTTTCCTTTGGTGGAAGTGGTGGGAGGGTCAAATAAGTCTGTTGAGTTAAACGAAGTTAAACAGCTTTCTTCACTGCAGGACTTCTTGGGTGTCTAGAATCTTCTAGTAGGAATTGTGTGTGAATTCCCATAAGAGACCATAGTATGCAGTACTTTCCAAGCTTTATGTTCTACAGACTACATTTTGAAAAAGGCGTATTTAGACTAAGGCTATCCATAGTCTGGTTCAAGGTGCAGAATGAACTTCCCTGAATGGGTTGAGTCCAAGTAGTTTCTCCAGGAGATGTGTGGGCTAGGATTGTCCCATTGCAATGCCCCTCAAACCTCTCGCTCCCCAAAACGCACCAGCAGAAGGAATCATTTGCCCCTTCTCCCATCTGGCAGAATAAGACTAAGGGCTTGAATTTTTTTCCCCATGATTTAAGTACATTTAATTATTTAAGGAATAAGTATTACCTTCCCTCTAGGTTGCTTATAGCCTGCTGGTGTACTGTTTATGAAACAGCTGTGAGAACAGGTGGGTCGTAATCTCTGGGCAGCTAAAGCCCAGCAGGAGCCCAAGGATCGTGTGTCAGCCACGTAATCCTGCTCTGTACACACAGAAATTATTATGTGGGCTCAGGAAGGCACATCCTCAGGATTGGACATGAGAAGGTCACTCAGGCCCAAATGAGGGCTAGAGCCAGCCTCCCAGTAAACAACTGACCCATCTCTTCTGGGCTCTTCTCCCCAGGATTTCAACAGCACCACAGAAATAGCCATTTTGCTCACCGTTATTTCCCAGACCCACGCCACTTGTCTAAGTCACTGGGAGGCCGTGTGTCTTGTTCTGAGCCTTCCCACACAGGACTGTCCTTCTCCTAAAGGGCGGATGAAGAGTGGAGCTTTGTGCCCTGTGATTCTGCTTTGACCCACCCTGCTTGCTTTTAGAGGACTGCTTCTGTGGGTCGCTGGAGGCAGCCCCACCTTCCCCAGTGGGAGCGGCAGCTGCTGGTGGCAGGGTGACCGAGTCCAGCCCAGGCCCAGGCCCAGGCGGCTTCTCAGAGCTGGAGGCCCACGTGGATGCCTCGGGCAGCCGTAAGGAGAGGGTGGGGAGGATGGGCTCAGGTGGGCGAGGCGGGACATACTTGGGGGGTGTGTGTGTGGGTGTGTGTGTATGTGCACGCCGTCACACTTGGGTAGGGCTCGTCAGGCTGCCCAGTCACCAGTGATGCGTAGGTTCCTTGGGCGAAGAAAGGAAGGAGTGGAAGAAGGTATGCCAGCTTTGCATCCTGGCTTGCTCCTGCCTCAGCTACCCCCCTTTCTGAGTCTCTGTCCTTTCCTGCGAAAGGAGGGAGCAGTTCATAGACCTTCCCTCTTTTAGATGAGGAGTGGGGTGGAGCTCATACGGGTGACTGGACTCAGAGCTCCCCTGCCAGTCCTGGGGTGTACTCGGGTGGGTTGTTTTTTGGTGGGGGCCTTCTGCGGGGAGGCAGCAAAGGTGATGGTATTGCACGTTACTGCTCAGCTTTCAGGAAGGGTCTGGATGTTAGAGAGAGGCTGTGCTTATCTTCTGGGGTTAGTCAGGAAGGCTGAAAGTACTGTTGCGTTGGGGCAGCAGTGGTTTTAGCTTCTTGCTTTGGAGAGGGCTGTAGACAGGGCAAGGACACTGCATTCAGGATATAGCAGCCATGGATAATTGGCATGACCTAAGCCCTTTAGGGCTCTTGGAAATTTTCCACTTCTGTTTCATATTCATGGGAGAATTTCCAGGCCAGACTTTTCCTGCTCTTGCTCAAGGCTGCTCACAGATATGCAAAGCAGAGACCTCCCCCCTCCACCCCACCCGCCCATTAACGGCAAATAGGGCCCAGCTAGCTGCACATGCATTGACTCAGCTCAGCCTCCAGGGCAGCACGCAGCCCTGGCCTGAGAGCGTCACCTGCGTGGCATCCTCAGGAGCAGCCATGGAGACTCCACTGCCAGGATCAGGTCTGTGTTGTGGGTTCTGATGATGGGAGTCTGGCAAGAGCAGGAAACAGCTTCATTATGTAAGGAGAGCATTTAAGTGGCACTGTGCTTCCTTTCTGAAGGGGCTGTGGTGCCACAGTTATTGTTTGTTGAATTTAGTGGCATTTTATAGCTTTTAACTTTGGGGCACTTCTACAGGCTTGCTGGAGGGTGTTGTATGTAACGGTGAGATAAGCTGTATCACTAGCCAGTGCTGGCGAATTCACAGTTAAGCCTCCAAAGCCTGCCGGCTCTTGCTAACAAAGTTGAAAATCAGGCTTGAACAAGCAGCTGGGGCTGAAGCCCTGCTTTGCATCTGCAGAGTGGGTTTTCCTCGACCTGTGGCCTACCCTGTGTCTGTAGGTCTGAGAAGAGAGACAAGAAGTGGAGGGAGGGGTTGGCAGGTGGGAACTGTCTGGAAGCCTGTCCAGAAGACAGCAAGTGTATAGGATGTTCCTAAGTCCCACTGACTTTTCCCAGAACCCCATCTGGGTTGCTTGGTTCATAGTAAGGCATGGAATGAAGCCTCCACTAATTACTTAAGACACTGGTAGTAGCTCTGAAGGAGATTCATATGGGTTCTGTTAAAAAAAAAAAAACAAAAATGGAGTGGAG